AACGCCTCCGTCATGTTGGAGCCTGCGGAGATGGTGGGAGGGAAGTTGGAGCAGGATGGAGCTGGAACCCCCATCCCCTCTCCTCCTCCTCCTCCCTCATAGGGGTACCTGGCCCGAAGTCAACGGTGGCGTAGAGCCCCTGCAGCGTGCCGCAGCGCAGCTCCTCCGCCCGTGTGCCATCGGTGGTGAAGAGCAGCACCTCGTTCCCCAGCAGCGCCCGGAAGGAGCCCAGCAGGTGCCGCAGGTACTCGTAGTCGCAGGCATAGTAGCTCCCGTACTCGTTCTCCACCTGCGAGCAGGGCAGGGGCCGGCACCCAGCGTGTACATGGCAGGGCTGCAGCCAGGTCTCGCCGTGCACTGGGATGAGCACCCAGTTCCCCACTTCCCTCCTGACATCATTAGATGTCATGACAGCCCCCAGGTGCATCCCAAGACTGACCTTCCAGCCCCAGTTTGACCCCCAGCTGTGCCAGCGTCCCTCAAACCACAACCGGGGTGGTGGCAGGTATCCCAGAGTCCCAGCCCTTGGATTTAAACCCAGGTCCACAGGTCTGGAGGGATTTATCTAAGAGCTGTGCCAGATGAGGGCATGGTGTAGGGGGTACAGGTGGCTTTTTGGGGCACATCCAAAGACGACCCAGAGCAGGGCAGGGGGCCAGGTCCCACAGCACCCTACCTGCACACTGATGATGTTCCCTCCATGCTGGTACAGGCGTGGCTTGATCTTGGGTAGCAGGACATGGAGCCAGGAGTCCACGGCTGCCAGGTAGCCTGGGGAGAGAGAGGGCAGCTCAGCCTGGCTGCAGCACCCACCCCAGCCCACCCACAGCCAGCCCTGCCAGGAGGAGGATGGAGCAGACGGGGCAGAACCGAGCACGATGGGGAAGTGGAGGTAGAGGACGAACTACGGCTCTCCCAAAAGATGGAGAAGAGGATGTGGGAGACCACGCAGCAGGGATGGCAGGTGCATGGAGAGAGACCGGCGTGCCAGGACTGGCACCAGGCTGTAAGGACACGGTGGCCAGAGCCCCGTGCCGAGGCTCACCAGGGTCGGAGGAGCGCAGGACGATGTCTGGTTTCCACAGCAGCCAGGCGGGCAGGCCACCCTGGAGAAACACGCACAGCTGAGAGGGAGGCAGAGAAACCCCTCTGCAGCCCGGGCCGGCACACAGCCGAAACCAGGCCAGGGCAATGCTAGTGCTCGGCACCAGAGTGGCATGTGCCCCGCGGAGCGGCAGGCTGGGGCTGGGTGTCCTGGCACCGGGGTGGGGGGGGCA